AATCCACTAACTTGTTATCATATTCTTCTGGGTCAGAGCCTGCTTAACTGCTATTTTGATTTATATTACCCATAATAAGGGTTCAAAGCAGATGGTAATTTTTAAATTCTAAGCTGGCTATTTAAAGAATAGAGTGGTTATTTGAAAGTTATATTTTCATTTGTCATTTTTCACTTATAGGTTAACTTGATTCTTCTGTTTAGATTTCACTAGTTTAAATTCTAAGTTACTAGAATTCTGTCCATGTTTGATCCATTTTCTTTCTTTGAAGAATTAGCAATTTTATCTTTATTATGTATGAAATTTTTTCATGATATTGACACTACTCAGCATTAATTTCACCTGTAAACTCAGTTTTTATTAAAATAGAACATCTTAGAATAGCAGTTATGAAATAATTGCTAATATCTTACATTACTTTATCACTGCCACAAATTTAGTAGCACCTAAAGTATGCAGTATTTTTGAAGGGGTATTTATACCACAAAATTTATGCAGTTCTGCATTTCATACTTTAAGTTATCTTTTTTTTTTCCTCCCAGTCCCTTTAGTTAGCCAGCTTTGACCTGATCTCCGAGAATTATTGGTTTAAATAGCTAGTTTTAAAGCAAACAGAAGCCAAAAAAAAATTCATTTTCTATGACTTTTATCTTCTTTTATTCTTAAAAGTGCCAAGGAATGGGCTGGGGCTGTAGCTCAGTTGGTAGAGCGCTTGCCTAGCATGCACTAGGGTTCGATCCTCAGCACCACATAAAAATAAAATAAAGGTATTGTGTCCATCTACTATAAAAAATATTTATTAAAAAAAGTTCCAAGGAATCTCAGTTTATATTATCAGAAGGAAAGACTCTAAAAGTTTACAAATAATACAGAAGTGTCACTATTACAAAAGTTCTAAGAGGAAATCTAGAAATATCAGCTACAAGCATCTTTGAATATTGATATCTCAGTACCTAACTGAGTAAATGAAATGAGGCAAAATTCAAGAACTGGCACTCAAATATATTAATAAATACAAAAAGAATTCATATTATCTTTCCCTATTTTAAAATAGCAGAAGCCATGAATATGACAAAATACAACTTCTCACTAATACATTAGTATAATGGTATACAAATTTTTATAAAGGCATATCTCAAAAAGTTTTCATAACCATAAAATTTGGCCAAGAATGTTGTATTTGTCTGAATATTATAAGGAAGCGAACTGGAGAACAGTCCCATTATAAAATGGCCTTTTATTTTTCCCACCTTCAGTCTTCAACCTTGAAGTAATCCGCTCTCTTCCCTCAAATGCTGAACATGGCAGGCTACAATTACAGAACATGCAGACTGATAAAACTGTAAATTTAAATGTCTTACACAGGATTTTCAGTGCCATTTGGCAGCCTTCTATGTCATTGATTACTCATTTTCCATTCCTTAGAGTACTAGACATTTAGCAAATTTCTTCTTTCAACAAATATTTCTTAAATTCCTACTCTATTCCAAGCATCAAGATCCGGATACAGGGGCTAGGGTTGTGGCTTAGCGGTAGGGCACTCTCCTGGCATGTGTGAGGTGCTGGATTCAATCCTCAGCATCCCCCATAAAAATAAATAAATAAATAAATAAAGGTATTGTGTCCATCTACAACTAAAAATTTTTTTAAAAAAAATCAGGATGCAGCAGAGAACAATACAGATGGGAAAAAGTCCTCACAGAGCTTACCTTCAACAAAATATTCAATGTTACATTATTGGTTAAAAATGGGCAGTTAACATTGTTGATGGGGTGACTTTTTTTGTCCCAGATTGCCTGGAACAGCCCCAACATAACATCTGTTCCTAGGTTTTAATAGTGCCCCCTTTCATTTTCAAAATGGTTCCAGTGTGGACGGTAAATTATACAACCAGCCTAGTTCTAAACTTTTTATATACATAAACTCATTCTCATTTTATTATCACATTCTCATAAGATATATGAAATTATTAACATCATTATACAGACGTAGAAACTGAAGTATAGCAAAGTTAAGTAACTTATCCTTGGTCATGCTAGTAAATTGCTGAACCAGAATTCAAACCCAGACAGCATCTTGATTCTTGGTCACTAAACTACATTGCCCCTAGGACTGCTATTCTAAATCTTTACTGTTTCACCCTGCCATCCTTCCTTTCTCACCCCAGGAAGTAAAGCAAGTAATGTCATCTCCTTCACAAATAGATTTATGCTTCTTTGGGTTGAATTTCTCCAACATGTCATTTCTTCCTTTATAAATTTATCTTCATCTCTACTCTGCCTCATGACATCTTTCCATTACAGAGGAAAGGACACCCTTCTGCATATCTACAACTTGTATTCTAGCTCCATCCCATCTTGTCTCCTGAAGGAATTTATTTTCTGAAGTAGTCTTCTCTCTTTTTCTGGGCCTCTTGTCTCCATCTTTACACTGGTTTTCCCCACTCAGCATATAAACATGATCAATTGTCGTCATTGTTGAAAGTAACTCTTTCGAGAAGTTTTGCTATTGGGAGAATTTTTTTTAATTTTTTCAATAGTAATGTAATGATGATTAATGACTACCAATTATTTATTACCCTATTTAAATTCTAGATACTATAAATAATGTGTAACCCATTTAAACCTGCAAATGTTTTATAGATGAAGAAATTGAAGCTCAGAGGGCTATATCACTTGCTTAGCTTATAAATATCTGCACAAAATTCAGACTCTTATTTGTCTTACTCCAAAGCCTATTCTGTATCTAATATAACATGCTAGTTTATTACAGATCTCTTCTGCCTATACTTATTGCTCTACAGCTCTCCTCCTTTTTACAGGAAAGCTTTTTAAAGAGAGTATTTAATACTCATAGACTCTTCTTGCCTTTTGTTTACTTCTCAACCCATTCTAGTTTAACATCCACTTTTTTATTAGTCAGGGCCTTCCAGAGAAATAGAACTGACTAGAATGTGTCTGTCTATCCATTCTTTTGTGATGTTTCAAGGATTAAAGAATTGGAACAATTCTTTAATTTATTGGTGTTCTTGCTCTCTTTATTACTCCAATCATTGATCTCTACCAAATCTTAAAATTCTATCTTAGAATACTCTATTGAGCTTCAAACATATATCCAATTGCCTATTGAATTTCTCCTCCTGGATATTACAGACATCTCAAACTTTGCCTGAAATCCTATTCTTCCCCTCTCAAACTGGCTTTTACATCTCTTCTGTTCTCTTTATTGGTACTACCCTCTCCACTCAGTTACCCAAGCTAGGAATTCAAGAAAAATGCTCACTCTTCCCTTACATTACCATTTAAAGCCTTCTGTTTCCATATCCATCAGCCAAGACAGCTGGATCCTCATTTTGTCACACATCCAACCTTTTAGTCATCCTGCTTCCCTGACTCTTTCCAACCTGCACACTGCTACCAAAGTTATGTTTTAAAGGTGCAGATCTGTTTTATTGTGTTTCACTTGCTTCAGTAGCTTCTAATTGCCTACAAAAAATCCTTAGCAGGCATACAAGGCCCTCCATGACAAGGCCTTTCCTACCTCTTTTCTCCCATTATTCCTCACTCACTCAACCTAGTTTCATGGAATATTGAAAAATGTACAGAGCCCAGACTTGTATGTTGATTGCTTTCAGGTCTTTACTGTTGTTTCTTCCCCCTTGCAGGTCCACTACCACTGTTACTTCTCTATATCCCTACTCCCATACTAGGGCTTTAAGAAAAATTGTTCAGAACCTAGGTTGATAATTTTGGTATAGGCTGTTCCAGTTCCACAAATAAATTTGATTGTGCCCGATGGCTGGCATATTGGACCTTGTTTTCAGTTCTACTCTAGCACTTATTACTGTATTTTTGTTTATCTGAATATTTCATTGGACTATGAGCTTTTCAAGTATTTCCACTTGCTAACAAATTATAGGCATTCATCAAATGTGTGATGATGATGGAGATGATGAACCTCTGGAGTGGACCAAAACAGTTCATTTAAATAAGATTAGACCTCCCATATCAAGGATTCCTGGCCTTGGGCACATGTAGAGGAGAATGGTATTTGGGGTATTCTCTCATCTCATCTAGAGGCTGCTGCTCCAAATTTAGTACCAGCATCCTTTTTAATATGTATTTCTATTACAATGTAATACCTGTTTTTGACCTTTGTTTTGTTTTATTTGCGTGTATCCTTGGAGCAGTTAAGAAGAAAGGACATTTTAAATTACTATTGCATTCCATCATTGGAGAAATTAAATATCAGTTTTTTCTCATGTGAGTCATATGTACCAATAAAAAGTCTTTTCTCAGCCAGTAAAAATAAAATTCATATTATAAGAAGTTTGTTTACTCAGTTTTTAGATCATCCTATGTTTCCAAATGTCTCCATACATTTAATGTCAAATTAAAAACTAAAGTTTTGTGTTAAACTTGAGAGGAGAAATAGTGTTTTTTTAAGGATGGTTAATAGAATAATAAAGACTTCTTGCCATTTTTAATATGAAAATTTCAGGTAACCAAGGGTCCTGCTATTCACATTGGGGTCAGAGGATAGTGGAAGGATTAGCATTTAGACTTACCTTTTACTTTCTACTCTGTGTATATTTGTAGAAGCTACTTGTGGTGTAACTCCTTATGTACTTAATATTTATCTGACTCTTGGTTTTCTTGGTTGGTTTTTTAAATGGGTGAAGAATCTAGTTATAAATTCTTTGCCCCTTATGGAATGTGATATCTTAGTTTTGATTCCATCTGTCCCTTCCCCCCTTACTTAAGTTTTTCTTATTGTTTCGCATTGGGTTTCTAAAATAATGGCTTTGGCTTGTTTTTTCCTGAATGTTTCTGCAGTTTGGTTTGAGTATCTGGCTTTGGGTACCCCTCCTGAACTTGGACTTCGTCTGTACTTGTCACTTTTGGAAGGCAGAAGTCAGTATTTTCTATGGAAGATGACTATTTTTTAATATTATATATGTGTATCTCCCCTTCCCCTCCTTTTTTGGTTTCTCTTAAAAGACTGGAAAGAAGGCAGTGAAGGCAGTCCTGTGGGTATCAGCAGATGGACTCAGAGTTGTGGATGAAAAAACTAAGGTAAGATTTTTGTAAGCTTAAATATAACTGCTCGTATCATATTTAATAATTTTTTATCCCTAATGATCAAATATGATGCCATTAAGCTGTTATAATCACTGTATATCCTTCCACCTTGTTCAAAGTACAGTATTTTGAGAGACTGCTTAATGTTCAGGAAACCAATTTAATTACTTATTTACCTTATGAAAAATGGAATTCTCTCAACATTTTGTTCTACATGACATAGTATGTTTAATGTACTAAGCACTAGCATTTAATGTTAAGATCTGAGTTTTGGTTTTTTTCTTACATATTTAAAAATGTTTCACCCCCCACGAATATAAAAGATGCTGCACCTTTTACCATAAGTAAAAAAAAAAAATTTAAATATGACAGGCTACATCTGAAATTTCTTCTTGTTCCTTAAAAAAACACTGTTTTTAGAAAGTGATAGGTAAACTATCACTTATAATTAACCTGCTATTTAACTGGAAATGCAACATAAATGAACATTTTAAGCCTAGAGAATGGCTCTTTGGTTAACATTTACTTAGGATTCAAACAATAACTCAAATCCTAGGTAGCATTTTTATTTGAGAGAATGTGATCCTAAATGACTAAGAACAGACACATTGACTCTGCATCAAGAAATCATATAGTATTACATAAATGCATTTAATCATTAATTAAGATTTCCTGGGGCTGGGATTATAGCTTAGTAGTAGAGCACTTGCCTAGCATGTGTGAGACACTGGGTTCGATCCTCAGCACCACATACAAAAAAATAAATAAACAAAGGTACTGTGTCCAACTCCAACTAAAAATGTTTAAAAAAAATTCCTAAAAGATGTAAGTTAATAAAAAAAAGTTTAATAATATGACAATTTTTTTAAAAAATCAAATTTCACTGGAAGGAAGAACATCTGTCAGATAAAAAGCAGTTTTGATAGGAAATTTGCCTGATAAATTTGGAGTTACTGCATTTTAGTTAGTTTACTTTACATGTAAGACTCTTTTTAATTTCAGAGAAGCAGTGGTCTTAAATTTCAGTGCATTACTTTTGGAAACAATGATTATATTAGTCAATTTGGTTTTAAGAATGTGTATTATTTTCATTAGTGTTTTGGATGAACCCTATTCTTCTTTTAAGTCTGGGTATTTGTTTTATACTGTAGTTGGAAAGTGATGCTGCCCCCTAGTGGGCTGTTTTCAGCACTTCCATTCATTAATTTAGTTTTTAACAGATTGGTAGTAGTAATTGGTGGCTTGTCACTTTTGAATCCATCTTCCACCTTTATATTTTGCCATGAGCAGGGGTTAATACACTTTTGGGTTGAGTATGACAAGGTCACACCATGATCTATACAAATTTTCCATGGTACAGAAGCCAAAATTTGAGGTCCCTAACCTTTGAGCAAGAAACTATCAATTTGCCTTGCTATCCGTCTCCCCACCCATGTCTATCTTGGTTCTTCTAACGTGTACCTACTTAAGAGTATAGTTAAATACTGGATAGTTTCTTAGAAAAAGGGATAAATAAAATTGAATCATGGATGGAAATGAAATTTATATTACTAAGAGGAAAAATTTTTTTTTAAAGTATCCTCAATATGTTTCACTTACAGCAAGGTTTCACTTACACAAATGCTCCTATTGGACTGATCCTCCTGAAAACAACAGTAAACTCTGAACAAAACAACCCAGTTATCTGAAAGCACTAGAGAATAACCCAAAGCAGGCAGATTCTGGAAAGAAGTTGACACTTGGAAGAAGGAAATGGCACTAGGTCATTTCCCATTTCATAGTTTCTACTCTTTGTTATAGACCCTAGTTTATATATCATACAGAATATCCAAAACTCTTAGTCATTCTGGCCAAAAAAAAAACAGAAGACAGAAATTGAAGCAACAGCAGCCACCAGAAAGTGAAAGGGGTATCCTGGCTATGAGAGAGCCAAAGAGGAGGAGGCCTAAATTCTAATCTCTTAACCATGCAGGTGTGAGGCAGACTCTAAATAGTCCAGCTAACAATAAAAAAACTGATATTTGAGCTGCTATCCAAAAGATAGAGTTGGCCATTTGAGTGTAATCTAGTTAACTACCTGCTAAAACCAAAAACACCACACTTGCAAGGAATGTAAAAGAATCTAGACTGTCTACAAATAATATCCACAAAGTCTATAATGCAGTGTAAAATAACTTAGCATACAAAGAACAGGAAAGTATGACTTGTTACAGAAAGCAATAAAAACTGAACCTGGAGATAACAAGAATTTTGAAGTAGGTATGATAACTCACTGATGTAAAGGAAATATGCTGATCTTGAATGAGTAACTAGAAATCCCAGCAGAGAAACAAACTGAGTTAGAACCAAATGGAAGCTATACATATGCAAAATACAGTACCTGACTAAAAAAATTCACATGTGGGGCATATTCTTAATTGAAAAAAGCAAAGTATGGAACAGTATATATTAAAAAAATAATTTGTGTAAAAACGATAGTAGAAGCATGATTATCATATTTTTAGCTTATATTGCAAGTAAACCAAAAGGATTAAACATTGATTTGCATATATATATATAAAATCAAATTGAACATACATCTCCCATGAAAGAGATCTAAAACTATAACCAACCAAAATATATTTTAGAACATAGAGATGAAACAGGGTGCAGTGATATAAACCTAAAAACCCAGCGATTCAGGAGGCTAAGGTGGGAAGATCGAAAATTTGAGTCCAGCCTGGGGAACTTAGTAAGACTGTGTCTTAAGATAAAATTTTTAAAAGGGCTAGGAATGCTGCTCAGTGATAGAACACTAGCCGAGCATGTGTGAAGTCTGTGTTCAATCCCCAGTGCCACCAAAAGAAAAAAAAGTAGATGAAGCGAGAGAGCCGTCTGGACAAAGCAATGTCTCTTAAGTCAAATTCTTGGTTTCAAATCACTATTTTGTCGCCTAGTTGCATCTCATGTAGGGATTCTGTATTGTAAAATGAACCTCCTGTGTTTATTCTGAGATTAACTTCATAAATCCTCTTTCTTTGTGCTTTCCGTTTTCTAGGACCTCATAGTTGACCAGACAATAGAGAAAGTTTCTTTCTGTGCACCAGATAGGAATTTTGATAGAGCCTTCTCTTATATATGTCGTGATGGCACCACTCGGCGCTGGATCTGTCACTGCTTCATGGCTGTCAAGGACACGGTAAATCCAACAATGTATATCCCATCATGGGTATTCTCAGCTGAGCTCCTTCCAGGTTGAATCAATCAAGCAGTTTCCACTATAGTTTTAATAATTACATGATGCCTAGGCTGCTCTTGGAAGCACTTTTTAAGATTTTACTCCTTTTATTCAAATAGTTCACATTCTTGATGTTATCCTATGCATTGCAATGCATAAAGCAAAACGATTGGCTGGGATCCAGTCATTAAAGGAAAGAAACTGAGTATACCTGCAATCCTAGTGATTTGGGAGACTGAGATAGGAAAATGGCAAGTATAAGGAAAAATTCTTCAACTTCAACCCTGTCTCAAAAAAAATAAATACAACACTGTAGATCTGGCTCAGCAATAGAACACTCTGGACTCAATCCCTAATACTGCAAAAAAATAAATAAAGTAGAACTGTCTTTGTGGGCTGTGTAGCTCAGCCATAGAGCACCTGCTTAGCATATGTGAGGCTCTGGGTTTAATCCCTAGCACCACAAAAAAAGGAAGGGAAAAAATTTAAGAATTGCTATGGTGATGGTGGTTTCTAAACTTTAGTTAGAGTTTTTATTATTGGAAGTATTTTCAGGATTAATTTAGTAGCAAAGAGGCTACTACAAATAAAAGAACTGAATTGGAATATATTTTCAGTTAAAATTAAAAACAATAGAGGGCTCTGTGGTAGAGTACATGAGATCCTGGGTTCAATTCCCAGTACCATTAAAAAAAAAAAGAGAGAGAGATACTAAATCATGATAGAATAAACTATGCTAGATATTAAGAAATTATAGCCAGACTTGGTGGTACATGCTGGGTAATCCCAGCAGCTTCGGAAGATGAGGCAGGAGAATCATAAGTTCAAAGCCAGCTTCAGCCACTTAATGAGGCCGTAAGCAACTCAGCAAGACCCCGTCTCTAAATTAAAAAAAAAAAAAAATTTTAACTATTTATATGTGCCGCTGAGGATCGAACTCAGGGCCTTGCACATGCAAGGCGAGCACTCTATTGTTGAGCCGTAACCCCAGTCCCTGTAAATTTAAAAAAAAAAAAAATTTTAAGGACTGGAGATGTGACTCAGTGGTTAAGTGCCCCTGGGTTCAATCCCTGGTACCAAAGGAAAAAAAAGAAAAGAAATTATTGCATGGCAGACTTCATGTGTGGTGCTGAATCAAATCCAGGGCCTTGCACATATTAGGTTAATGCTTCACCATTGAGCTATATCCCCAGCCAGAAACTTATATTTGTGTTTAAAATAGAGAATAATTTCTCCTTTATTTATATTACCCAGAATTCTGACATAAAAGACAAGTCTTTTAGATGATGATGATCTTAACAATATTTAGCATTAAATATGCTAAATATACTTTCTGGATTTTTAAAAGTTCAGACAGAATAAGGTATTTGTGAAGGCTAAAATTCAGCAAAGCTCTTGCCAAAGTTTAATTTGAAGCAAAGTAGTACTGCTGGCTTTAAAACTGGCAAAAAAAAAAAAATTTAACATCTTGGAGACAATGGTATAAACCCTGAGTCAGATATGGCGTCCAGTCCTGGTTCTGATTCCTGCTTTCTGTGAGGCAAGTTACTTAACATTTTCTAAGACTTAGTATTCACTTCTATAAATGGAAATAACTGTTGTGGAAACTAAATTAGGTAATTATAAGCACCCTTAATATAGATTCTGGCCAACAATAACTGTTTGAAAATCGTAGTTAATCATCAAAGCTGAGGTGTTTTGAGAAATAAATTGAAAGAACTACTTTTTCTTCCTTTCTCTCAGGCTCTAAGAAAGCCACTAAAACTATATTTTGGGTTGGGGTTGTAGCTCAGTGGTAGAGCGCTTGCCTAGCATGTGTGAGGCACTGGGTTCAATTCTCAGCACCACATATAAATAAATAAAATAAAGGCCCATCAACAACTATAAAAAGGTATTAATAAAAATATATATTTTGCCATTACTATATTCATGAAATCCAGAGTTCAAGAGTTTCCTAAAGTCATATTTTTTTTTGAGAAAGAGAGAGAATTTTTTTTTTAATATTTATTTTTTAGTTCTCGGCGGACACAACATCTTTTTGTTGGTATGTGGTGCTGAGGATCAAACCCGGGCTGCACGCATGCCAGGCGAGCGCGCTACCGCTTGAGCCACATCCCCAGCCCCCTAAAATCATAATTTAAAACTGTTTTATTGTCAAGCTGTTTGGCTCTTCTAGGCCAGTGGTTCAGCTATACCAGAATCACCTGGAGACTAGGTCCCACTCAGAATTTTTCATTCACTTAAGAATGTGTATTATCAGTTCCCAAATGATGCTGTTAATGGGGAATGGAGGTTCACTTTAAGAACTTTTGCCTTACTAAAACATAGTAAAGCTCAATAAATAAAATTGTAGTTATTATTACTACTATCATTGTTATCATTACTATTTTTCAGTGGAAAGGGTATACACTCTTACAGTTCTCATAATTTTGATTGATTGATTGTTAATAGGTAATATCTAACCTTTTTTGGCTGAGCTATGGATATTATTAGATGTCATTTTATGTAGTTGAAAAGTAAAACAAAATTGCCTTCATGGAGAAAGTGCTTATATGGGAAGAAATAGCAGTCCTCTAAAACTTGTGCTTATTTGTAGCTGCACAGAATGAAATTATTAGAACTACTTGGTGATAAAGTTTTCTTAAAGATCATATACATAATGAAACACCAAATAATTTTCAAAAGAACTTGTGGGCTGAGGATGTGGCTCAGTGGCAGAATACTTGCCTAACCTGTACAAGATCCTGGGTTCAATCCCCATTACTTCCAAAAGAAAAAGAACAAGAACTTTTTCTCTGACCTAGGATAAATGACAAACTTCCTTGGGCTATAGCTTTGTCCTTACAATAGAGCTGTGCTCAAAACCAAACAGGTTCTACGAATCATTCACTATCCCCTACACCCATTTTATGATTTCATATCCTAGCCTTATATCATCTTCTTAGAAAGTTAGATAGGAACTCATGTGAATTCATAATGTTTTAGTCTAAATAGCCAAAAGGTACTGTCACATAAAATATTAGAGACAAAAATCATTTTTAAACATTATCTTCTTATGATACCTGATATTGGCATGTAAAGTCCAATGAAGTAACTTGTTCACCACCATCTGTAAGAGCAGCTGCCTTCATGGTATCTTTTAAGAACACCACAAAAGCCTCCTTGTTCCCAAATGATGCCAACAATTACTATACCATCTCTAATCTTTTTATTCTTCAGTTAGGAATATGGTTTAAAATACAGATGACCTTGGTAAAAATAATCCATTGAATTTGTTAAATTGACTGTTAAGTAATCAAGTGAATCTATAAAGAAATTAATTTATATGGGGTTGGGGTTGACACTCAGTGGTTGGGCGCTTGCCTAGCATGTGCGAGGCCCTGGGTTCGAGCCTCGGCACCACATAAAAATAAATAAATAAATAAAATAAAGATATTGTGTCCAGTTACAACTAAAAATAAATATTTTTTAAAAAGATATTAGTTTATATAAGCTCCCTTTAATAAATTAAATAAAAGTTATTTCCTTATTAGTAGAGTATATGGATGCAAATGTGCTTTCACTTTGGACTGTGTGTGGCTGGGAGATAGAGTTGAGGGTGAGAGCTTAAAGAAGATAAGGTAGGCATGAGAAAAGTCTAAAAGCACCAAAAGCCAGAAATGGGGGCATTCAGAAAAGGGAGAGGAAACTAAGCTTTCCTTTTGATTCCTTTTTTTTTTTAATAGTTGGGCAGCATACTTTTATTTGTTTCATTTTTATGTGGTGCTAAAAATCGAACCCAGTACCTCATACATGCTAGACAAGTGCTCTGCCACTGAGCTACAGTGCCAGCCTCGTTTGATTCACTTTTAATCAGGAGTTTTATGTATCAGAAGTTTTAAGTTTGCACCTTTTTTTCCCCCTAAATCTGTTAACAATGTATTTAAACTCCTGGAGTATACCCAGCCTTTCCAGTGGTTTTTTTAGAAATGTCTGCTAAATATTCCCACTATTCCCTAATGGGAAGCTGGAGGTTTACATGTTAAGTTTTAGAACCTTGAGCAGTGTGTCCTAAAGCTGGTGGCCAGAGCTGACATGACAAAGAGAGCCTCAGTGCTCAGAAGCTCTCCAGCTGTCCACAAAACCACGGGTTATTGATGTTCACTTTGCCTAAGACCTGAAAGTGTTAATGTAATTGAAGTATCATACACATTAAGATAATTTACTCACTTAAATTAATTTTGCCTATAATACAAATTAATTTGAAGCTGGAGTTTGCAACATTTTTTCTTGTATAAAAACGTATTTATAGCTAGGCACTGTGGCGCATGCCTGTAATCCCAGCAGCTCAGGAGGCTGAGGCAGGAAGATCACGAGTTCAAAGCCAGCTTCAGCAACAAAGAGGTGCTAAACAACTCAGTGAGACCCAGTCTCTAAATAAAATACCAAATAGGGCTGGGATGTGACTCAGTGGAAGAATGCCCCTAAGTTCGATCCCTGGTACAAAACAAACAAACAAACAAAAAACTCATATACTTGTATGTCATTGTTGGTACTGTAACTCCAAAAAGGCTTAAAGAACCTTTCGCTCTCTCCAGGGTGAAAGATTGAGCCATGCAGTAGGCTGTGCTTTCGCAGCCTGTTTAGAGCGTAAGCAGAAGCGGGAGAAGGAGTGTGGAGTGACTGCTACTTTTGACGCTAGTCGGACTACCTTTACAAGAGAAGGATCATTCCGTGTCACAACTGCCACTGAACAAGCAGAAAGAGAGGAGATCATGAAACAAATACAAGATGCCAAGAAAGGTACAGTCTGTTCTACTATTATGTGTTCATTTAATGTAGTTTTCCCCAACAGGCTAATAATTTGAAGCTAGCAAGAATATGTTTTCTCATACTCAAAGAGAACTCTTGGGAATGAGGGTATATATATATATATAAAAAGAATAAAAAATTAATGATAGTGATTTGAGGGTGGGGCTGGGAGAGTCTCATTATGTTACCCATGCTGGCCTTGAACTCCTATCTCAGCTTCCTGAATAGCAAGGACTGCAGAAACATGCTAGCGCAACAGGCTGATAGTGACTTCTTGTAAGCATTTGTGCTAGGATACCAAAGAATAAAAAACATATTGGCCAGGCGTGGTAACACATGCCTATAGTTCCAGCTACTCAGGAGACTGAGGCAGGAGGATCATGTGTACCCAAGAATTCACGACTAGCCTGGGCAACAGAATGAGACCCCCTCTCAAAAACAAAACAAATCATGTATCATTACTAGAAATTTTTATCTAAATATTATGATTTAGTATGTTTTAGTGATTTTCAGACTGAAAATTTTTGGATTTGTTTTGTTTTTTCAGTGTGGGGATCAAGCCCAGAGCCTCACATATGCTAGGCAAGCATTCTACCACAGCTACAACACCAACCCTGAAACCATATTATTTAACTCATTTTGACCCATTTTCCCAAGATGTAGCATACCATTTAAAATTTAAATACATAATATTATTTTACATAATTAGAGAAGAACATAATTATTATTATATATGTAAGCTCTAGGTTGTGATTTCCAACCTATTTTAATGCACCTGTGTTGATTTTGTTAATATTCACAGAATTGAAAACTTAGGACCTGATGGGTTAATGTCACCAAGCAATATTGCTATACACAGCAGTTGACAGAGATTGAGTTCTAAAGTCTACAAAGAACCATGAAGGTTGGGTAAAGACTTGACATAATCAGAATGGGATTGAACTGGTGCTCACATGGAAAAAGTCTTATTTCAGGACTTTGAGGACTGAGTCACCTCAATAATATAATATAGAGGAGTTATATAAGCCCCTTTTTTCCCTTTTTCTTCTCTCCTTTTTTCTTTCTTCTTTTTTTCTTCTTCTTTCACCCTCCAAATTTTACTTTTACATCCTGTATTTTTCTAAATACATATGTGTGTTTGTTTTATGTACTCTACTGTCTTCCCACATACTTGTCTACCCTAAATTACTTCCTGTCTATTCCCCTGCTACTAACCCTCTTCATTAGATTTCTCTTTTACCTTTTCTAAAATAATATTAACTCTATACCCTCACATCTTTCCCCCTCAGCATATCATCCTATGCCAGACCCCCAGTTCATTGTCTACCACCAGAAACTGTAAACCTTTTTACAGAACTGCTGGTTATATTTTAAATAATAATTAAATCAAACATTTCTGGACATTGAAACTAACCTGTAAATGTCTGAATAACAACAAATTGTTCATAGGTGATGTATTGTTGATATTGGGATTTGTTAACATTGTCCTTCCCCACAAGGGAAAGATCTTGGAACCCTACAAGAGCACTACAAATCTATAGGGTAAAAACAACAACACACCAGACCCACAGAGCTGGAAAGGAACAGACAGGAGCAACATGAAAAGACAAGGGAAGAAAGTACCACAAACAAATCAAGATAATACATCATTAGAATCATTGGCAGCTAGAGCAGAAAAAATTACAGAGAAAGATTTCAGGATATACATGGTTAAA